GTGCTGGGGTGTGAAATCTGATGATAATATAACTGTTTCTCCAAGGGGCTCTGGAGCATGGCTGCATGTGAGACATAAAACAGGTTCTGCGCCCTCATTCTCCCTGCCTCCCTCCTGGACCCGAGGGTTTGGGGCTTAGAAGCCCAGAAATGTGTGCCGCCTTATTGCCATCTCATCCTTTTTTTTTCTTTTTGAGTTGGAGTCTCACTTTTTGTAAATATGTTCTTACAATGAATATCACCTTTTCTGTTTTACCTTCTTAATGTTGCTAGTAAGAGTCTGCAGTTACATGCGGAGGTCCCACTCTGTGTGACTGGGCATCGCTGGTCCAGCTTTAAGTAGCCAAAACGCATCATTTGAATTGAAAGAGATGTAATTGAATTAGCTGGGGTGAAGGGCGGACAAAAATCCCTCAAGGTGTCATGGCGCTGTTTGACCACAAGAGGAGCTTTTTTGTCGCCCAGGCTGGGGTAGCAGCGGCACACTCCCGGCCACTGCAGCCTCGACCTGCTGGGCTCCAGCGGTCCTTCCACCTCAGCCTTCCAAGTAGCTGGAACTACAGGTGCGCGCCACCACGCCCGGCTAGTTTTTGAGATTTATTGTAGAGAGGAGGTCTCACCAAGTTGCCCAGGCGGGTCTCGAACCCCCAGGCTCAGGCCATCCTCTCGCCTCGGCCTCCCAAAGTGCTGGGATGACAGGCTGAGCCACCGAGCCCAGCCTTCCCATCCATCTGACGGCCCTTTCTTAGGGCAAACACAGCCCCGTGACTTGCTTCCTGCAAGAAAGATGGCCGGGGGGAGAGGACCGGACGCACAGGTGCAGCTGCCAAGTTCGCTTCTCAAATGACGGTCCCCACTGCGTGAGCTGGGGTTATAACCACGATGCCAGGTAAGGCGGGCGCAGGCGGCCAGGCCCTGACTTACAGGGGAGCGAGGAGAGAATTTCACTCGGGCGAGAGCTCCCCTTGTGGTCAAACAGCATGACACCTTGAGGGATTTTTGTCCGCCCTTCACCCCAGCTAATTCAATTACATCTCTTTCAATTCAAATGATGCGTTTTGGCTACTTTAAAGCTGGACCAGCGATGCCCAGTCAAACAGAGTGGGAGCTCCGCATGTAACTGCAGACTCTTACTAGCAATATTAAGAAGGTAAAACAGAAAAGGTGATATTCGTTGTAAGACTATATTTACAATATACAGCTGGGCGTGGTGGTTCACGCCTGTAATCCTAAACACTTTGGGAGGCAGAGGCCAGAGGATTGCCCGAGCCCAAGGGTTTGAGACCAGTCTGGGCAGCCTGGCGAGACATCATCTCTGCAATAAATCAAAACATTAGCCGGGTGGGGTGGCATGCGCCTGTAGTTCCAGGCTGCAGTGGCTGTGAGTGTGTCATTGCACCCCAGCTTGGGTGACCAAATGCGACTCCAACTCAAATATATATATATTTGAGCTAAGGTCTCATTCTGTTGCCCACTGAAATGTGGTGTGATCCAGAACCTGGACTTTTTTTTTTTTTTTTTTTGAGTCAAGATCTCACTCTGTCACCCAGGCTGGAGTGCAATGGCGTGCTCACAGCCACTGTCGCCTCGACCTGCTGGGCTCAGGAGATCCTTCTGCTTCAGCCTCCCAAGTAGCTGGGACTACAGGCATGTGCCACCACGCCCAGAGAATTTTTTTTTATTTTTTGGAGAGATGAGGTCTCATCATGTTGCCCAGGCTGCTCTCAAACTTCTGGCCTCACACAATCCTCCCACCTCAGGCTCCCAAAGTGCCAGGATTACAGGCATGAGCCACTGCACCCAGCCAAGAATGTTTTTTTATAAAACCAAAGTAGGTGCTCATTTGTAAATGGTTGGAAAAAGCCAAAAGAAGACGACTATTTTGTGTATGTAAAAATTATGCAAAATTCAGATTTAAGCCGGGCTCAGTGGCTCAGCCTGTAATCCTGCGCCTTTGGGAGGCTGAGGTGAGTGGATTGCCTGAGCCCGCGGGTTCGAGACCCGCCTGGGCAGCGAGACCTCATCTTTACAATAAATCAAAAAATCAGCCGGGCATGGTAGTGCATGCCTGTAATTCCGGCTACTTGGAAGGCTGAGGCGGAAGGATCGCCAGAGCCCAGCGGGTCGAGGCTGCGGTGGCCGGGAGCGGCCACTGTACTCCAGTCTGGGCGACAGAGTGAGACTCCAACTAAAAAAAAAAAAAAAAAATTCAGATTTAGTAGCCATAGATAAAGTTTTTTTTTGAGTTGGAATCTCACTCTGTTGCCCAGGCTTGAGTGCAGTGGCATGCTCACAGCCACTGCGGCCTTGACCTGCTGGGCTCAGATGATCCTTCCACCTCAGCCTTCCAAGTAGCTGGAATTACAGGCACGTGCCACCACACCCGGCTAAAATATTGACTTATTGTAGAGATGAGGCCTCACCAAGTTGCCCAGGCTGGTCTTGCATCTGTGGGCTCAGGCAATCCTCTCATCTCGGCCTCCCAAAGTGCTCGGATTATAGGTGTGAGCCATCATGCCCAGCCGCATAGATAAATATTTATTGAAAACTAGATACACTCACTCATTTCCCCGATATCTGTGGCTGTTTGCCCACTACAATAGCGACCAAGAACCTCAGACCCATAAAGCCTAAAATATTTACTATCTGACCCTTACGAGGAAAAAAGAAATTGCAGACCCCTAAGAGAAGAACAGAGGCAGTTATGCTTTATAGAGGGTAATCTGAGAGGGCTTCTGGGAGGAGGTAATATTAGAGTGAAGAGGTATAAGACATTTGGGGAAGTTTGAGTATGTGTGGTATTGAGCCAATGTTATTGAAATTTCCTTGGGCAACCCCTCGGTTTCCCTCCCACTGAGCTATTCTGTTCTCTCAATAAATCCTGCTTTCAATAAAATAAAATAAAATTTCCTGAGTGCAATGACTGTACTGTGATCTTTCTAGAAGGTCTTGTTCTTAGGAGATACATGCTGAAGATTTTAGGGCTGAAATGCCATGGCGTCTGCAAGTTAGCTTGGGTACTATCATATTTATGGTACTATCAAGGAAACCCACAGGAGGATAAATAATTATGTAGGTAAACAAGTTATATATTTGTGTCTATATCTATCAAAATCATATAAATTATAGATATCGAATTATATCTTGCCTCTCCCCTTCCTGCAATGAATTGAGTGTCCTGCTGAAATTCTAACCCCTGCTGTGATGGGATTAGGAGGTGAGGCCTAGGATGGAGGGCAGTGGCTCGATCACAGTTCAACACAGCCTCCACCTCCTGGGCTCAGACCATCCTCCCACTTCAGGCTCCTGAGCCCCTGGGACCACAGGCATGCACCACTATACCTGGCTAATTTTTTATTTTTTCTTGAGACGAGGTCTCACTATGTTGCCCAGGCTGGTCTCAAACTCCTAGGCTCAAGCGACCCTCCTGCCTTGGCCTCCCAAAGTGCTAGGATTACAGGTGTGAGCCACCACACACAGCCCTGAAAATTTCAGGGAAAAAATGAAATCTCCGTATGCTTTCCTCAGCAGTCTCCTCCCCGGTGGATGCATCAATGCGCTGAATTTGATGTCGCCCAGGCTAGAGTGCAGGGGCACGCTCACAGCCACCGCAACCTCGACCTGCTGGGCTCAGGTGATCCTCCCACCTCAGCCTTCCAAGTAGCTGGAACTACAGGCGGGAGCCACAACGCCTGGTTAATTTTTTTAAATTTACTGTAGAGATGAGATCTCATCAAGTTGCCCAGGCTGGTCTCGAACCCCTGGGCTCTGACAATCCTCTTACCTCTGCCTCCCAAAATGCTGGGATTACAGGCGCGAGCCACCACACCGAGCGATTCGCTAAATATTTACTGAGTCCCTAGTCCATGCCAGGCACTGGGCTTTGGAGCAGGGAACCAGGCGCCACCTGCTGGCCACATGAACCGTCTTCTCCTATCCCACCGTGTATTGGCTTCCCAGTGTGGCGTCTTGAACTGGCCTGGCACACAGTAGGCGCTCAACAAAGATTCGTGGAATTCATGAATGTAGGTGCCACAGGGCAGGAAGAAGGGCAGGGACCTTCTGTTTTTCTTAGCTCTTGCTCTGGGGACCTCGAACAGCACCTGGCACATAGTAGGTGTGCAATAAATATATGTCGGGTCAGGCGCAGTGGCTCACGTCTGTAATCCTAGTACCGTGGGAGGCTGAGGTGGGAGGGTTGCTTGAGCCCAGGAGTTCGAGGCCAGCCTGGGCAACCCAGCCAGACCTCACCTCTACAAATAAAATATTAAAAAATTAGCCAGGCGCCGTGGCTCAACCCTGTCATCCCAGCACTTTGGGAGGCAGAGGCAAGAGGATTGTCTGAGCTCAGGGGTTCGAGACCAGCCCGAGCAACATGGTGAGACCTGTCTTTACAATAAATAAAAAAAATTAGCTGGGCGTGGTGGCACATGCCTATTCCAGCTACTTGGTACTTGGAAGGCTGAGGTAGAAGGATCGCCTGAGCCCAGTAGGTCAAGGCTGCTGACGCCATGAACGTGCCACTGCACTCCAGCCTGGGCAACAGAGACTCTGACTCAAAAAAAAAAAAAATTTAGCTGGGCATGGTGGTGCGCGCATGTAGTCAGTCCCAGCTACTTGGGAGGTTGAGGGGGGAAAAAAAGGTTGAGGCTGCAGTGAGCCATGATCATGCCACTGCCCTCCAGCCTGGGCGGCAGAGTGAGACCCCAATTCAAAATGTGTGTGTGTGTGTGTGTGTGTGTGTGTGTGTGTGTGTGTGTGTGTGTGTGTTTTGGATGAAGAGATTTAAGAGGAATGGGTAAGTTCCAAGAGCACAGAACAGAGACGGCCTGCGTTTTTTCTCGACTCTCTCCCCGGGTCCTAGAACCCTGCCCGGCCCATAGCAGGTGCTCAGCAAACACACGCGTGAACAGATACAGCGTGCCGCTGGTTGCCTGGTCCTGCTGGGCGGCGGGGGCGGGGCCGGCCGGCTGGCTCCGTGACGTCACAAAGGCCCTGGCCATGCCTCTGGCCTTGACCGTGGCGCTGCTCTGGGGCCTGAGCGCCCCCGGCGCCTGGGGCTGCCTGCAGTGTGACCACTCGGTGCTGGAGGCCCTGAGGCAGCTGCGCGCCGCCCTCGTCCCCAGCCACTTCCAGCACGAGCAGCTGCAGCGCCGGGCCCGGGCCCTGCTGCTGGGCATGGAGGGGCCCTTCTTCCGGGACTTCGCGCTGAACGCCTTTGTGGGGAAAGTGGGTGCGTGGCCCGCGGCTGGGCCGGGGGAGGGCGGCCCTGGAGACCACGTCCCCGGGAGGAGGCGGGCCTGGAGGGACGGGGAGGGGGCCTCGGCTCGCTGGGGTCCCACGGGGATCTCCTCTCCTTCCCAGGCATAGAGCCGCTGAACCGGGTGGCGTCCTTTGTCAGGAACCAAGCACAGCACCTGATGGCTAATTCCCTGAAAGGTAGGAGGAAGAGGGGTGCCTCCGTCCTCTCCACCCACGCGCCCCTCGGGTGCCGGAAGAAAAGCCACCCAGCACGTTGGCAGGTGGAAGCGAGAGGGTTGCCTGAGCCCAGGGGTTCGAGACCTCGTCTCTACAATAAATCAAAAAATTAGCCGGGCGTGGTGGTGCAGGCCTGTGGTTCCACCTACTTGGAAGGCTGAGGCGGAAGGATCGCCGGAGTCCAGCTGGTGGAGGCTGCGGTGACCGTGAGCCTGCCACTGTCCTCCAGGCTGGACGACAGAGCGAGACCCCGACTCAAAAAAAAAAAAGATATAAAGTGTCTGTGTGTGTGTGTGTGTGTGTGTGTGTGTGTGTGTGTGGTTTGTATAAAGTGATACCTGAAAAGGAAATCACCCAGTGCTGATTTCCAGTTTAAAGGGACTGAAGGACTAAGGGTGATGTCTGCTTTCTTCCCTGCACTTGACAAACACCACATCGGGCATTTAGACGACTATAACTTTTAGACGATGTCACACTAAATAATTAGTTTGAAGCCAGGCTGGGTGGCTCACGCCTGTAATCCCAGCACTTTGGGAGGCAGAGACGAGGAATTGCTTGAGCCCAGGGATTCAAGACCAGCCTGAGCAACATGGTGAGACCTCATCTCTATGACAAATTAAAAAAAGAAAAGAGGAAAGGAGAGATATTCATTCATTTATTTATTTTTTGAGTCAGAGTCTCACTCTGTGGCCCAGGCTGGAGTGCAGTGGCACGCTCAGGGCGACTGCAGCCTCAACCTGCTAGACTCAAAGCAATCCTTCCACCCCAGCCTCCCAAGTAGCCGGAACCACAGGCATGCATCACCACAGCCGGTCCATTTTTTTTATTTTTTGTAGAGACAAAGTCTCACCACGTTCCCCAGGCTGTTTTTGGACTCCTGAGCTCAGGCAGTCTTCTCACCTCGGCCTCCCAAAGTGCTGGGATGACAGGCGTGAGCCACTGAGCCCGGCAGGAGAGTTTATTCAGTCCACGTACCGGATGAGGAAACTCAGGGCAGAGGAGGGCAGTTTATCCCTGGGCCCCACGGTGAATCAGAAGCTAGAGGCAGGATCTCCCAAGCCATAGACTTGCCCTGGGGGACCCTGGGTAATACCTGGTCTTGATTATTCCTGATAAATAAAGAGGAGCTTTCTCCTCGCTCCTCCTGGACACTGCGGATGGGGGTGGGCTTTCTGAGTGCCTCCCACCCCCCACGGTTCCCTTTGTCTCCTCAGATGAGCCTTTGCTGGAAGAGCTGGTGACTCTTAGGGCGAACGTGATCAAGGAACTCAAGAAAGTGTTAAGATCCTATGAAATGAAAGGTGCAGCAAATCTCTCCACCAAGCCCCCTCTCCCCTTCTTTCCCGTCCCTCCCTCCCTCCCTCCCTCTGTCTGTCTGTCTGTCTCTCTATCCCCTTTTCCACGTCTTCTCCCTGACTTTTCCTTCCCCTCCCGGTTCAACCTCTTTCATTTCTCCCCGACACACCCCTCCTCTCCCTCTCCTGGTCCCTCCCCTTAGTAAATTCTGATTGCCATCTCAATGTAACTCACCTCAGCTCTTTTCTCTTGCAGCCTGTGATCCCAAAATTTGCCGTGAGTTCTGAATTGATTGTCTATCCCTCCCCTCGCTACCCTCCTACGCCCTTGGACCTTGTCTCCCCAACTCAGGCCCCGGTACCACCGCTGCCCTCACCCCAAAGCTATCGTTTCTAGGGATGTTTGCGTCGTGAGGGATTATAAAAATAACTGCTACTGGTGGGATGCAGTGGGATCACACCTGTAATCCTAGCACTTTGGGAGGCTGAGGCGGGAGAATGGCATGAGTCCAGGAGTTCAAGATCAGCCTGGGCAATATAGTGAGACCTCGTCTCTACACACACACACACACACACACACACACACATGCACAAAGTTAGCCAGGCATGGTGGTGCATGTGAGGCTGAGGTAGAAGGATTGCTTGAGCCCAGGAGGTCAAGGCTGCTGTGAGCTGTGATTGTGCCACTGTACCCCTGCCTGGGCGACAGAGTGAAACTCCCACTTGCAAGAAAGAGAGAGAGAGAGAGAGAGAGAGAGAGAGAGAGAGAGAGAGAGAGAAAGGAAGGAAGGAAGGAAGAAAAGAAGAAGATAGGGAGGGAGAAAAGAAAAGACAGAGAGGAAGAAAGGAAGGAAGGAAGGAAGGAAAAAAGAGAAAGAAAGAAGAAAGCAAAGAAAAAAATTATTGCTATCTGCAAAAAATATTTTGGGCATGTTAGTCAGGATAGACCATGTTGTATTAACGAATAACCCTCCCATATGTCAGCAGTTTAACACAACAAAGGATTATTTCTCTCTCACCCAGATTCCTTTGCAAGTTAAGCAACTCTTCCAAGTGGTGACTCAGGGATCCAGGCTGCACACACACATTGCAGTTTCTGAGCTTGCTTCCAAGGGAAAGAGGATAGGGAATCACACTGGGAGGTTTGTGGCCAGGCCCGGAAGTGATGCACATCACTCTGCTCACTTTCCATGGTCATAACTCGGTTACATGGTTGCAACTGGCTGCAGAGGGGTCTGGGAAATGTAGTCTTTCTGTGTGCACAAGAGGAGAAGGCATCTCGCGGGTCTCTGCCACACACAGGGTGCTCCAAATCAAGAAAAGGAAAATGCTAACTCAAAATTTTGAAATGCTTGATTAAATGTCCACAAGCAGAATGTTGGGTTCACTGGACTATTGCAACTTGATTTAACTCTTCAATGATTCTACGAAAATTACTTTTCATGTGAATTGTGTGTTTTGGTCAACTTGCTCTGCCGTGCCGTGGAACCTCCAAAATGCAGGAGGGCCGGGGAACCCTGTCTGCTCTTTTCCCTTGTCCCATCCCACCCCTTGCCAGTGCTCTGATATCTGCCCTTGTCCCGCTTCTCCCTGTCCCCTTGCCTAGGCTTGCTGAAAGAAGAGATCTTGGACTGTTTACATTGCCAGAGGATTGGCCCTAAATGTATCCAAAAAAAGTACTGCTTTGGTAAGCCTCTGGGGCCGGGGAAGACACGGGACAGGTGCGTGAGAGCAGAAGGCAGCCTGGCCCACTAGAAATAGGATCGAGTCCTGCCCTTACCATCTGCTTACCGTGTGGCCCAGAAGTTGCTTCCACAACCTGAAGTCCACTCTCCCCCCTTCTGTTAAATGGGAAGACTCCTCTGAAACTTTAAAAAGTCAAAACACAGCCGGGCTCAGTGGCTCAGCCTGTAATCCCGCACTTTGGGAGGCTGAGGTAAATGGATTGCCTGAGCCTGGGGGTTTGAGACCCGCCTGGGCAACTTGGCGAGACCTCATCTCTACAATAAAATATCAAAAAAATTAGCCGGGCATGTAGTTCCAGCTACTTGGAAGGCTGAGGCGGAAGGATCGCCGGAGCCCAGCAGGTCAAGGCTGCGGTGGCCGGGAGCGGCCACTGCACTCCAGTCTGGGCGTCAGAGTGAGACTCAAGAAAAAAAAAAGCCAAAACACCAAAATGGAAGATGCTAGCAAAACATTTTTATTTTTATTTTCAAGCCAGGGTCTTACTCTGTCGCCCAGGCTGGAGTGCAGCGGCATAATCACAGCTCACCGCAGGCTTGACCTCCTGGGCTTAGGTGATCCTTCTGCCTCAGTCTCCTGAGTGTCTGGGACTACAGGCGTTTGCCACCAAGCTGGCTAATTTTTTTAAAATTTTTATTTTGTAGAGGCAGGGTCTCGCTATGTTGCCCAGTCTGTAGAAAAACATTTTGCTCTTAGTCTTTGCTGTACCTGGGGGGGGGGTCTGGAAAGATATGCTAAATTCATTCACTCATTCATTTGGAGATCATATATACATATGCACACATACATAGCAGAAAGAATGGTCCAGGACAGTGAATCCACATACATCCACAGGCTGGATCATTCCACATGCCACTCCTTCTCTGTCACACTGTTCCCTCACTTGCTCACTTCATTTGGGTCTCAAAGGTCACCTCTTCAGAGAGTCCTGTCTGATCACACTCTCTGAAGTAGACCTTTCTAGCAAATTATGTGAACAATGAGCATTCTTCCAAATTGTCTTCAACTATTATATTCTTTGCCCTGGTATTTTTTTATTTTTCTTTTTTGAGTCGGAGCCTCACTCCGTAGTGCAGGCTGGAGTGCAGTGGCATGCTTATGGCCAAGCCAGCATCGACCTGCTGGGCTCCGGCAATCCTTCCACCTCAGCCTTCCAAGTAGCTGGATCCACAGGTACACGTACCATGCCCAGCTAATTTTTTTATTTATTGTAGAGACGAGGTCTCACCATGTTGCCCAGGCTAGTCTCGAACCTCTGGGCTTAGGCAATCCTCTCGCCTCTGCCTCCAAAGTGTTGGGATTATAGGCATGAGCCACTGTGCCTGTCAGGAGCTGGGTAATTCTTTGTGACAAGGGCTGTCCTGTGTATCGTAGGGTATTTGGCAGCCTCTCTGGCCCTGATTTACCAGATGCCAGTAGCATCTCCCTCCCAGTTGTGACAAAACAAAGTCTCCAAATGTCCCGGGGGGAGTGGAGAATGGCCCTTGGCTGAGGACCGCTCAGATAATTACATCAACACAGAACAAACGGATTTCAGAGGGATACAAGCTCTCTAATGGAAACAGAACAATTTGCTAGATGTGCCTGAGAAAAGGGGCGATGCCACTCTGGAAAGCACTGGCCTCTCCGGAAAGGTGACGTTTGAGAGCCGAGGGGCGCGAGTGACGGGAACAGTGTGAGTGACAGAGGGAACAGCACACGCCAAGATCCAACACGATTAAGCCACAAGGATCCTTGAAGGAGGCCAGGGTGGCCAGAGCCGAGTGAGTGAAGGATAGTCTAAGGCAGCTAAAATGGTGGCTGGGTCACACTGGGACCAGATTGCTAGAGGCTGCCGGGGTATGGTAAGAACCTGGGCATTTCTCTGGAGCAGCCAGGGGCCACTGAGCGGAGGGAGCGGACCTGGGTGTTCACAACGCCCTCTGGAGACCGTGTGTGGAACTGTGGGAGGGGGCCACAGGGAGATTCTGGCGAGGCAATGGATGGGGGGGCGGACCTGGTGCCTAGGGGGATTAGTTGGAGGGATGAGGCTTTGCGGATAGAAGGAGAGAGGTGGGGGCTGGAGGTGAGTGGAAGATGCAGAATGGGCTCCCAAGGCCACCTTCAGGGCCACCCACTAGGACTGTCCTCTGTCTCCGTCTCTTTTCTTGACTTTTTTTCTTTTTTTTTTTTGAGTTGGAGTCTCACTCTGTCGCCCAGACTGGAGTGCAGTGGCCGCTCCCAGCCACCGCAGCCTCGCCTGCTGGGCTCCGGCGATCCTTCCGCCTCAGCCTTCCGAGTAGCCGGAGTTACAGGCGCGCGCTACCATGCCCGGCTGATTTTTTGATTTATTGTAGAGATGAGGTCTGGCTGCCCAGGCGGGTGTCTAACCTGCGGGCTCAGGCAATCCACTCACCTCAGCCTCCCAAAGGCGCAGGATTACAGACTGAACCACTGAGCCCGGAGGCTTTTTGTTTTTGAATCGGGGTCTCATGCTATCACCCAGGCTGGAGTGCTGGGGTGCAATCACAGCTCAGTGCAACCTCGACCTACTGGGCTCACGTGATCCTCCCGCCTCCTCCCAAGTAGCTGGGACTACAGGCATGCGCCACCATGCCTGGCTAATTTTTTTATTTTTCATTTTTGTAGAGACAGGGTCCTGCTATGTTGGCCAGGCTGGTCTCGAACTCCTGGGCTCAGGCAATCCTCCCACCTCGGCCTCCCAAAGTGCTGGGATTACAGATGTGAGCCACTGCACCTGGCCTCTTTTTCTTGGTTTTGAGTAGAACTTCCCAAGTCCCTCTTGCCCCTCGCCCCACCACACCCAACCAAATGTGATGCGTTTAGCACCGACTCCCCACTGTGGCTGTGGTATGCTGTGAAGACTGTCCAGTCCTTGAGGATAGTTTGCCAGTTGGGCTCCTGGCTCTATCCTGAGTGCCTGGGACTCAGCATTTGGGGTATGGCAAACTAGAGTCAGGCCCCAGGACCAGGCAAGGGCCAAGAAAGGAGGAAGGGAGAGAGACCCCTGCCCCTGCCCCGGGATGTTGGGTGGGCACGTGGGGGGTGGGCATAGGACTAAGTCTCTCCCCCCGCCTGCCCCAGTGGATGGGCAGCCCCGCACGACCCTGCAGTACCAGACGGACAGCGAGTCCCCGAGGAACTGGGCTCTGTGGGGTATCCTCAGTTCTGTGTTCCTGGCCGTCTTGGTCTTCGTGGTCATCGTGGTCTCGTGAGTCAGCCTCAGCCCCTCCTCAGTCCCTAAGTTCACTTGGGGGTTATTCTTTATTTTATTTTTATGAATACTTGGGTTGAGGTCTCGCTAGATTGCCCAGGCTGGTCTTGAACTCTTGGACTCAAGCGATCCTCCTACCTCAGCCTCCCAAAGTGCTGGGATTACAGGTGTGAGCCACCACACCCGGCACGTGTTATTCTTTATTATAAGGGCTGTTCTGTGTGTTGTAGGGTATTTAGCCGCTCCACAACAGCACCTCCCTGGAGGGGTCACTGTGCACTTTGGGAGTGCCCTTCCCAGTCTGTCTCTCTCTCTCTGTCTCTCTCTCCTTCTTGCCCCATGCTTTTTTTTTTTTGAGTTGGGGTCTCACTTTGTCACCCAGGCTGGCGTGCCATGGCATGGTCACAGCTCACCACAGCCTCGACCTCCTGGGCTCAGGAGATCCTCCTACCTCAGCCTCCCGAGTGGCTGGAACTACACACGTGTGCCACCCCACCCAACAAATTTTGGGGTTTTTCTGGAGAGGCAAGGTCTGACTATGTTGCCCAGGCTGGTCTCAAACTCCTGGGCTCAAGCAATCTTCCCACCTTGCCCTCCCAAAGTGCTGGGATTTCAGGTGCAAGCCACTGCGCCCAGCCTCCCCTGTCTTTTTTTTTATCTTATCTCTGTCTTTCTCATCTCCTCTTTCCTCCACCCTGGGTCCCCAGCACTTTTGCCTTCGTGGCCCCTTCCGCCATAAAAAATATATTTAAACATAGCGAATTCTGTTTTGTGAATGTGTTTGTATAAAGCGGGCTCGGTGGCTCAGCCTGCAATCCCGCGCCTTTGGGAGGCTGAGGTGAGCGGATTGCCTGAGCCCGCGGGTTCGAGACCTGCCCG